ACCAATTACAACGGGTGACGACTGACTAGTAATATCATCTGACTTAGACTTAGGTAAAGCTTCTGACTTACGTTTAGTTAGGCCATGTTTACTTACAAGAGCCGAGAGCTTACGTCGACCAGTGACTTTTGGTCTCATCTTTTCACGAGGCAATTTGTGATTAAGAAAACTTCTGGCAGACAAGTTGACTGAATTTAAGCTAGGGGCTAACGATGTAAAAATAAATTACAACAGTTAGAGAGAAATCGGATGCACAAAATGAGAATTGCAGAGTGCGATTAGTGGACAACGGGCATAGACTGGCAAAACTCGAAAGGAGATGGCAGCGGGCAGTTCTTAGAGAAAAGGCCTGTATTTAAGGAATTTCAAACAAAAAACAGGTACTAAAATCCTTATATTTCACAGAAAAACCACTAAAAATAATATCCTCCACTTATCTTCAAATTTAAAACCAGCGGCTTGACCTTGACCTTAAGGCGGTCAATGGTGACCGTGTCAGTCTTATCAGCCTTCTGAAGGGCGTAAAACTTGTCTTTCCGATGAACGACCTTATATGGGCCATCGTAGGAAGGACAAAGGGGCTTGCGCACTGCGTTATGCCGGACGAAAACCAAGGGGGAAGATTTAAGGTCCTCGTGTACAAACACATGTTTCGATGTCAGACGAGTAGGGGTTGGACGCAGTTGAGCCATGCGTTGTTTCAACTGCTGTACGAAGGTGCTAGGGATGTTATTGTTTGTCGTGGAAGGCTACACATATTCGCCGGGCAGACGGAGGGGTGTACCGTACACAAGTTCGGCGGCAGTGCATTGGATGTCCTCCTTGACAGAAGATCGGATGCCCAGAAGCACAAGAGGGATATTGACACTCCAAGTAGCTGACTCTGTTTGGGATATCAGTGCGGACTTACGTTGGCGGTGTAGACGCTCAACGAGGCCGTTGGAGGCAGGATGGTATGCCGTGATTGTGATGTGCGCACACCCGAGCAGTCTAGTGAACTGACGGAAGAGGCTAGATTGGAATTGACTTCCGCGGTCAGTGGTAAGGGTGGCTGGAACACCAAAAGTTGAGATCCAGTGGATCAGAAAAACCATGGCTATATTTTCTGCCGAGGTATCCGAGATAGGAACGGCAATCGGCCATCGTGTGAAACGGTCAACTGCCGTCAGGATATGTGCGTACCCACGTGAAGGTGGCAACGGTCCGATTAAATCCAAGTGAACGTGATTAAATCGAACGTCCGGGACCGCAAAGGTACTTGGAGGGGAGAAGGTGTGTCGATGTACCTTGTTCTCCTGTCATGCGGGACACTGTTTGTTCCAAAGAGCAATGTCGGAATTCATCTTCGGCCAAACAAAACGAGACGCAATTAACTTACGTCCAGCGCCAATGCCAGGGTGAGAGAGGGAGTGAAAGTGGTCAAAGACGACCTTACGATAGGGTAGTGCAACAACAGGACGAGGGGTGCCTGTGGACCAATCGCACAAAATCGTACCTGGTGACGCAGGAAGTGGTGCATCTCGAAGCTGCAGAGTAGTAGACGTACGTAAGTCCGCGATGGACTCGTCTGCTGTTTGGAGGTCTGCAAGCCTCGCCAGGTCGAAATCGGATGTGAGTGTTTTGATGTCCGGACGGGATAATGCATCAGCAGCGACATTGTCGCTGCCTCGGACGTAGCGGATATCTGCAGTAAACTGCGATATATAGTCCAGGTGACGAACTTCCCTGGGCGAGTACCGATCTGGCTTGGCCTTGAGGGCGTAAGTGAGAGGTTTGTGGTCGGTGTGAACCGAAAAGTCTCTGCCCTCTAAAATGTGTCGAAAGTGACGTATGGCCAAGTAGATAGCAAGGGGCTGGCGAGGGAAAGTACTGTAGCGAGTCTGCGCCGGTTGTAGCTTCTGTGAAAAGAAAGCTAAGGGCTGCAACTGGTTATTCACTTGTTGATGCAAGACTGCGCCGACAGCACTGCTGGAAGCGTCGGTGGTCAAAATGAGCTGTGCATGGGCGTCAAAGCTGAGGTGGTGCAGCATGGTGGCATCGGCAAGAGCCTCCTTCGCTTCCTCAAAAGCTGTATGAGCTGCCGGTGAAAGTTCAATAGGTTTTGCTTTCGACTTCAAAAGGTCAGTCAAGGGAGCCAGCATTGCCGCACAATGGGGAATAAAACGTCTGTAATAGTTGATAAGGCCTATGAAACGTCGCAGCTGAGTGAGTGTGTTGGGGACAGGTAAAGACCAGATGCATTGCACCTCCTCTGTAAGTGGAGTGATTCCGTGCTGATCGACGTGATGGCCAAGGAAATCGAGAGAATTAACGCCAAAAACGCATTTGTCGACGTTTAATTGCAAATCGTGTTGCTGGAAACGATCGAATATGCGGCGTAAATGCGAGGCATGCTCCTCTGCCGAAGAGCTTGCGACGAGTATGTTGTCGATGTAGGCGTAAGCGAATGGAAGGCCCCGCAAGATCTCATGGATAAAGCGCTGAAACGACTGGGCAGCATTGCGCCAACCAAAAGGCATGCGAATAAATTTGAACAGCCCAAAGGGTGTCGTGATAGCGGTCTTTGGGATATCTTCCTCAGCGACCGAGATTTGGTGGTACGCCCTGACGAGGTCTACCTTGAAAAAAATGGTTTTACCGGCTAACATGTGGGAAAAGTCATGAATGTGGGGAATGGGGTACCGATCAGGAATTGTGGAACTGTTTAGGGCTCGATAATTACCGCACGGTCTCCAATCGTCAGATGACTTCTTTGGCGCCATGTGCAGTGGTGAGGCCCATGGGCCAGATGAAGGACGTATAATGCCCAGATTCCTCGTATGTTCAATTTCGTTCTTTGCTATTCGGAGCTTCTCAGGGTGGAGTCTACGCGGACGAGCGTGCACTGATTGCCCTGCCGTGATAATGTGGTTTTGCACTCCGTGTTGAACGGTTTCGGTAAAATGACATGGTTTAGTGATGGACGGGTAGTCCTTCAAAATGTCAGCGAAAGGGGTGCTGGGTATGGCGAGATGAATGCCAACCGAACGTTCAGAGCTAATGGTACCTATGGTAAAGAGTTGGGTGGTTGTGTCTGTGAGGTGACGGTGTCTGACATCGACTGTTAAGCCGAAAGATGACAAAAAGTCGGTCCCGATAATGGGCGATTTGACGTCAGCCTCAATAAAGACCCATTGA